TCAGCTCGTCCAGGGGTTTTGGGACTCGCTCCTGTCCCACCTCCTCCAGGAAGCCTGGGTTAGGTGCCTGTCTGAGGTGCTCTCGTGCCCAGCTCATCCTTCACCCCACTGTATGGGAATTCTTACTGACGTGACTCTACCGCCAGACCGTGACCTCCCTGAAGCCCAGGACTCACTCTGAATACAAAATGCCTGACACGAAAAAATGCACGTTGAAAGAATGAATGAACGGACAAGAGCCTGTTACATCATAGATGTCAGAATCCACTCAGTTTCCTCAAGTCCCAGCTCTTGGTCTTGAGAAAGCTGTCTAATCTCCCTCAACCCCAGATTCTCTGTCTGTAAACTGGAGATCATAAAACCTGCATTGTCAAGTTGTTGTGAGATTTAAACTAAATCATATGGTATGTGGAACATCTTCAGCACCATGCCTGGTACATAACAAGTACCCAAATGTTGGTTGTTGCTATTATTATTACAAAGACCTTCAGCACTTGACAGAAAACAGTCATGTTCTTGAAAGAGAACAGATACCCCCAGTGCACCACGATGACTCGGCTGCCCCAGCCCTCCTCAGCATTCATGGTTTACAGTCATCATGCACTGTTTTCATTCTCGAACATACTCCTTTGAAGGGTTCTGGCACTTCCATACTGTCTTCAAGATGCCTAATACTTGGGCAAATGCTTTTAGGTAAAATGATATCGAATTTGCCCCATATCTTACTGCCCACTGGAGCCTTAAACTATGGACATTCACATAGCACCTCCTAATGATGCGAATGCCATACGAAGAGGCCAGCATAACCCTGGGAAGAACACACACAGAGAAACAGGAACGGGGGTCAATGGACAGGTGGTGATCCCAAAATAGAAATCAGGTCTTAAAGAGGTCAGAAGCAAGCTGAGGTCTCAGAAAGAGAGTGTCCTTTGTCACATGAGATTCAGAAAGGTGAATGATCAGACCAGTGGTTAAAAAACATTGTAGCATAACCCCTCTGTGGAATATTGTGCAGCCATTAAAAATAGGTAGGGGCCAACTAATAAAATGGTAAATAAGAACACATAAGAGATCGTGTTATATAAAAAAGATAGACATAGGATATTTGATTACAGAATGTAAAACTTGCTTAAAAGAAAATGTAAGGGAGTAGACCGAAATTTTAATGGTTATGACACAGTGATGAGTTTATTTTTTTTTTAACTGATTCCACACACCTTTTGCAGTGTTGTCACATTCCTTTAAAATGTGAAAAAAAAAAAAAAAATCTGCCTGTCGTCCTCGCAGATGGTTCCTGGAAGAGCTGAGATAGTGCAGAAGACACGCCCTAGGCTGAAGGGGGCACCAGGAGCCAGGAGGCTGACTCAGCAGCCTTTGAGCGTGGGCGAACCTGGGCCTGGAGCGCCCGGCAGGTCATTTCTTCACCGGCCACCGCCCCGCGGGGTCTCACTGAGTGCCCGCTAGCAGGCCGCCCCCGGTGGGCCCAGCCGCCACCCAGCCCCCGACTGTGTTGTCCCCAAGCGATCCTCTCGGCGAACTTTGTCTTGGAGAGGAGGGAAGCGCCGCGAGCGGCTGGAAACCCCGCGACCTCGCCCTCCCCGGGCCTCGCGACCCCACGCTCCGCGCCCTGGCGCCCCGCGTACCTCTTGCAGGGGATCAGCGCCTTCCTCTCGTCCAGCACCCGCACGCGTTGGTTGAGCCCGTCGTAGGAGAGCAGGGCGCGGCTGTAGCGCCCGGTGCTCTGCCGGTACAGCACCTGACGCCCCTCCCACTGCTGCGGCGCCTGGCACGGGCGCTGAGACCCCGGGGAGTCCCCGGCCCCGGGCCCCGGAGCCGCCGCCGCCGCCCCCAGGCCGCAGAGGCCGCCCAGCGCCCAGACCCAGAGGCCGCCCAGCAGCCAGGCGCCCAGGACCCTGCGGGCCACACGGAGGAGAGCGCGTCCCGGCATCGCCGTCCGCCGCGCCCGCCGCCCCCCGAGGCCCAGCCCGAGCCCGAGGGGGCGCTGAGCAGCCCAAGAGAAGCGCAGCGCGGAGCTCTCTCGCACTGTGCCCGAGTGCGGTCTGGGCCAAGTTGCTGCCGGTCCCGGCGGCGGCCTCTACGGCTCTGGGGATCAGGCCTGGGATCCGGGCCCTGGGCCCTGGGGAAGCTCCGGTGAATCGTGCGGGAGCTATTTGTGCCCGGGCCGCTGCCCGCTGCAGCTTCTGTTTTCACTTGCTCTCTGCTGCCAACAGGAAATGCAGTGGCAGCGGTGCCACTAGCATCCTGAAGGGCATCCGTGTTTTAAAGGGGGGGGGGGGGGGGAGCGATGAGAAGGGAAATGTTTCTCTGCTAACTTGAGTATTCAACGGGTAACCAACTCTGGGGGACGAGCTCGAGGTCAAGGTCGGGAAAGCAGGGCCTCAGCACTTGCTGTGCCTCAGGTACCCTGTCCCTTTATCAAAATTGCCACCTGCTAACTCCAAATTAAAAATGGAAAAAAGGGTTCCTTCCTGAAGAAATGACACGAGTCATTTATCATGGCCGTTTGGCAGCCCCCCACTCCCCGTATAGAGCCTGGCGGACTAGAAAATAGGCCCTTGCTCTTGGGCTGAGGACTCAAGGACATTGCCTGGAGGCCACATTTGCGGTGAGACTGCTCCCCTCACTCATCACTTGACAATACCACAAGCCTAGAGGTTTATGTGTCTGGGAGTTTAGGATCATCAAGAAGAAAGTTAATTGGGTTTATGTTGGTGTAATGTTAGGATCTAGAGTATGGAATCAAGAAGAAAGAAAACAACCGTTTAAAAACCATAAACAAAGCCTTGCTTTCCAAGTTTATAGAGTCTTTTCACTAGATCTGCCTTTCAGGGATGAAGAAGCATGAGGCAGGTGAAAGTGGAAGAGAGCGTTCCTGTATGAGAGTCAGCGCGGCGACGAGAGAAAATGAGTGTGATATTTGGGTTCAAGTATGAAGCAGAAGACAGTCCGGAGCCAGATCACTCAAGGCCTTGAAAACCATTTTAAGGATTAGTTATTAATACCGGGGCTGTTGGAGCCATCCATAAATGTAAAGCTAGGGAGAGCATCATCAGGGATATGCCTTAGGAAGCTCCTCCAGGTCAGTGTGGAGGATGGCAGGGCAAGGCAGAGGGCAGGGAGAAGGAGGAAGATACTGTTGCAATCCAGACGAGAGCTGCTGTCTGAGCTAAGGCCATGGTTGTAGAAATGCAGAGGGTGGAAGAGTTGGGAACAAGACAGAAGGATTTAGACTCGGAGGAAGAGGTTTCTGGTTTGGACCACTGGGAGTTCAGCTGGAGCGAGAGAAGATAAATTCAGTTTAGGGTTGGCTGATTTTGAGATGACTGTGGGATATACAGGTGGAAGTTCCCAGGGGACAGTTGGATAAACAATTCCAGAGACCAGCAGGCCTAGAGGTCTGGATTGGGAAGCCACTGACATCTAGGTGGTCCCCGAAGCCAGAGAGGAGAGCAGCACAGTGGTTTTCCACCCAGGGCAACTTTGTCCCCCAGGGGGCAGTTGACAATATCTAGAGACCTTATTGATTATCACAGTGGGGTAGGGGGTAAGCTGCCCCTGGCATCTAGTGGGAGGAGACCAGAGATACTACTGCACAATGTGCAGGACAGCCCCCAGTACCACCACCACTCACCCAGTAAAGAATTATCCAGCCCCACTGTCAGCAGTGCCGAGGTTGAGCCAACCTGGAGCGGCAGGGAGTGTAGAGAGTGAGAAGAAGGCTGAGGATGGAGCCCTAGAGAACTCCAGACATTGAAAGGATGGGCAGAGAAACAGTCCCTGGAGGAGACTGAAAAGGAGCTACCAGAGAGAAGCCACTGACCAGGGGAACTTCCCCAGTTACGTGAGCTTTTGGCAAATCAATGTCAAGTATGAGGTAATGGATTGAGTGCTAAAGCCGGGCAAGAAGATGGAGACTGGTTGACAGACTCTCCGGATGAATCCCTCAACACTGCCACCCTCTCCTAGAAACGCTAAGGCCAGACTACCAACAGACCTAATGGGATAAGCAAAGAGCTTTATGGAGAAGGGTTCTTAACTTCTCCTCTCCCTTTCGTAAAGGACATGCCATCTGCGAACATGAGGGAAGCACCTGAAATGTCGCGATTTGGTACTTGCATAACTAAACTAATGCAGCAGGTTCAAACTGGCTGCAGAAGTTTGAGTCCTCCCCAGGTTTGCCCTCCTCAACTAACTCCAGGAAAAGGACAGGGAGTCCAGCTCTCTCAAAACTGTATCTTCTTCCCTGGTAGGAACTTGGGCTGAAAATCTTTTTCACTAAGCCAGGCATTTATACCTACTGGAGTTTACTGCTGAAAATGGCTTGAGATCTCATCTGGGCTATCCCCATCGCTCGATATTTCACTAGCCTGAGTTGGCATTTTTGAAGCTTGAGATCTGTTCTACAGAAAACTGGAATACCTCTCTAGATTGACCTGCCTGTATTTGGTCACCCCGGCCTTCCCACAAAATAGAATTGGACTCCTTGGGTGAATCCTGAAATGTATTTGTCTCATTTACCCTTTCAGCCTACCGTGTTTGATTCACGTTCCTGGGGAAAAAAAAAAAATAAGATCATGCATTTAAAGCACTTAGCACTACTCCGAGCCCATTGTACATGCTCAGTAAATGTCAGTTGTGCTTTTCCTTTCCTGGGCTATTTTAATCCTCAGTCCTGATCAGGGTCAAAACTAAACTAACTTTGTGGATCTAAGCTTTAGAGACAAAAAAATCTGTCTGCCTCAAGTTCAGATTTCCAGTTAAATCATGTTTTTAAAGATTAACATTCAGATAACATGTTTTCATATTCTAATGCCCTAAGAAAATATCATATACCAGAAATCTTACTGCCTGAAGATTGATGTACACTTGGAACAATAAAGCCTCCCTTTTCTGTGGATAGCTGAGCCAGCAGTGGATTCTACTACCTCTTTCTAATAAAAATAAAAGAGAAAACAAAACATACATCATTGTTCTCCATGGTACACAGCTTCTTACTTCATTTAAATAACAGTTTCCAAGCAAATCAAAAATCAAAATGTTAGACTGCTGGGTTGGAAATCACTTGGCATGAAGGAGGGAAAAAAAAATCTTTCAAATTGTGGTATCCAAAGTCTTCTATGTTTTCTGCTTTCATTCACGTTGGAGAGAAGAATAGGGAGTCAGGAGAAGGAAAAGGGGATGTTGGTGGATGGAAGACGTTCTCAAACTGGAAGATGCTGTTACACCTTCAGGCAGTTCTGTTCCTGGAGCAGGTACAGATCAGAGGCCATTCTGGAAAAACTTGAGCCCAAAGTAACGTCTACTAGCCACAATAATAGCAACAAAAACAAATTCCATACAACTCGCGCTGGGAGGGGGGCGTCCTTCCCTTTGCAGCTGCACTCTCCCCGTCCCGCACAATAGTCTCACCGCTCAGCGCTTCTCATGCCCCCTACTGGAGAAGGCAAGTATGTTTCCGAGTTAAAAGCAGCAGAAGTTCCCATTTCCCTCCAACTCTACAGTTGGGGAACCCATAAGGCAGAGGGCGCAAAGTTCAGCTTTGACTGGAAAGGCGGTCCCTCCCTCTCTTGAAATCCTCTCTTGTACCTTCTTGGATCCGGTGTCCAAAACGACTGCCAGAGGCTCTTTTTCTTGGTCTGGAGAAAAAGGACTGGCCAGACTAAAAAGGACGGACTTTGGGGGAATGCAGGATTCCAGCCCTGGGCTGCGGCCCGGAGGAGATGATGTCACCACTTCTGCAAGAGAGGGCCGAGGGTGGGGCGGCCGAGGGGGAGCCCGCGCCGCGCCTGCAGCTGCCAAGGGAGCGTTCCCGAGCCCACGTCAGGGGAGGTGTCGGGATAAATAGGTCCCGCAATGGCCGGGACTGGCTGCGCTCGGAGCTGCCGGGCCGGGGGCTGGAGCTACCAGGGCGGGTTCACGCCCCGGAGGCTGAGGGCTGGTGCTACTCGTGCTGTGCGCGTCGGACGGCGTATACTCCCAGCCGGCCCCCGCGGCCCAGCGTTGCTGCCCACGGGAGTTTGGGACGAGCACATCCCCTGTGCCCTAAAGGACTTCCTCCTTCGGGAAGGGAGAGAGAAAGCCTAGGGGGACGGGGAGAGAAGGGCCCGTTCTGCCTGTCGGGGTGGCGGCGCGGGAGAGCAGTGCCATGCTCCTCTCCATCCTGACCGCGCTCTGCCTGTGGCTGCGCCTGGCGCTGGGCGTGCGCGGCGCGCCGTGCGAGGCGGTGCGCATCCCCATGTGCCGGCACATGCCCTGGAACATCACGCGGATGCCCAACCACCTGCACCACAGCACGCAGGAGAACGCCATCCTGGCCATCGAGCAGTACGAGGAGCTGGTGGACGTGAACTGCAGCGCCGTGCTGCGCTTCTTCCTCTGCGCCATGTACGCGCCCATCTGCACCCTGGAGTTCCTGCACGACCCCATCAAGCCGTGCAAGTCGGTGTGCCAGCGCGCGCGTGACGACTGCGAGCCCCTCATGAAGATGTACAACCACAGCTGGCCCGAGAGCCTGGCCTGCGACGAGCTGCCTGTCTACGACAGGGGCGTGTGCATCTCGCCCGAGGCCATCGTCACTGACCTCCCGGAGGGTGAGGCCCGGGGAAGGACCGAGGGGGGTGACGAGGCACCCTGGGCTGTCGCTGCCACGTGAGAACCCGACGACCACACCTACAGCTGCCAGCGGGTGGTCGAGCAGCCCCCCATTCTACTTAGGAGAGCTGGAGGAGGTGGGAAGGGCTGTGACTTGATTTCGGGAAAAGTCTGCTTTCTCTACTGGAGTTTTGGGAGCTAAGGAGCACCATGTCCCATAAGGAGGGGCGGGCGATTTTGCTTAGATAGGGGACCATTGGGGACATTTTCCTTTATAGTAATAAAATAAGATAGTAGCAGTAGCAAACAAGCATATAGGGTTTAAGGTGGATCTGAGCCAGCTTTAAGTACTTCACGTGTTATCATTTAATTATTAAAATATTCCCACCAGGATTCTTCATTTAATGTTAGCTCTTGAAAGCTCTTCTGAAAAAACAGTACTAGTTCTCACTCCCCACCAGGAGTGCAGTTTGTAAATTTAGTTGCCCTGGAAAACTGTGACATCTGTTTCATGGTCTTTGACCCAGGGCCAACCTCTGTGGCATCTTAGTCAACTCGAGCCCAACCACCACTTCCTTCTTTTCTCTTTGGTCTTTTTTCCTGCTTTTCTAGGAAGAAGGAGCAGGTTTAAATCCACTTCTTGAAATAAAACCTAAGTATATTTTTGCCTCCTTTTATGCCTAACCCAGGTTGCTGCACATTTAAAGAAACTATGGTGTTGCTTTAGTGTAGTTTCTGAAGTTATACCTCAGAGCATTGCCCAAAACGTGGAGGAGAAGAAGTAAAATGAAGAGGAAAAATCGAAACTCCTCTCTAATGCAGAGTTTTAGAAAAAACATATTCATTGCTTAAATTATAGAAATGATACAGGGCTATGCTTGTTTGGGGTACCTATGGACTGTTTCTGCAAAATGTGAGGTGGGGATTTGGAAATATTTGGATTATTCTGATTAGTGTAAACTGTCAACTTGAAAAATCAACATTTTAAAATAGGTTTGGGGCGGAAGGATGTAATTTATCCAGGTTGACTGTATGTATCAGCCAGTTTAAATGGACGTGCCTTCACACCAATTTGTTCTGGATAAGCAGTCCCAGCCAAGTCTTCTTTCCTAAGCCCAGAGAGTCTATATGAAAGAAGTAGTTGACAATCACATACAATTTTTACCATTCAGGATTTGTGTGTGTGTGTGTGTGTGTGTGTGTGTGTGTGCACTGCTGTGTTGTCAGTGTCTCCAGATGATTCCTTATTCCAGCTGGGTGAACAGACCAAATCACTGACCACACCCATGTGGCCCTGTGTGTGTTTCAGACGTTAAGTGGATAGACATCACTCCAGACATGATGGTACAGGAAAGGCCTCTTGACATCGACTGTAAACGCCTAAGCCCTGGTGAGTTCTTTGTCCTCAAGGCTCCCTCTCTTTCTTCTCCCCAGAGTGATTTCTGAATCTTTTTTTTCAATTTTTGGTCTCTCTTTTGTCTTCTTCAGACCGGTGCAAGTGCAAAAAGGTGAAGCCGACCCTGGCGACGTACCTGAGCAAAAACTACAGTTACGGTAAATCATCTGCTGAAACCATTGGGTTGGGGACTTGGCACATGACAAAGCCAGGTCTGCTAGTCATGAAGTGACGAAGAGGGATTTTTCTAGTTAATCATGTGGGCTCTAGGTGGCACAATAACAACTGTAAAAACATCTTGCTTTTCTGGGTAAAGCACCCAGGTGAGAACGGTGGTGTGAATTAGTGCGATTCCACATCCTACACGTCCTGGTGAGAAGTGCTGTCAGCCGGGAGAGCACCTCACTTTTCTCAGGATTTCACTGCTGCAGGAAGGATCCATGGATTTGACCTGAGGCCCAGAGACCCAGGAATTAAGATCTGCACATGTATCTTTTAACCTATAAATAGCTACAAATATTAAACACCTTAAAGAAATTGTGGGAATATGTTAATCACAAGACCCTGTGGCTGTAAGTATCGGCATAGCTTAAATGCCCTCTTCTCTTATTTGAAAGACCCATACAGCACTTTCTTCAGAGAATAAGTCAATCATGCTACTTTGAATGTTTTCAGCAAATTTAATTCTGCTATCATCATTTGAAAGTAAATTTAATTAAAAATGTGTTCCTTTAAAATATCTTTTTGGGCTATTTTCTGGGGTTTTTTTTTTTTTGCATTTCTTAAATTATTTCTACTGAAACAACAGAAACTGGGGAAAACTGTTCATTTTATTTGCTAACTCAGCTTTCCATATTTCAAACTGAAATTTTATATCATAAGAACCTTTATATTATACAACCCACATAAAAGCAGGAAGACCATGGCACTATAAAAGTCTGAAAAAATAACCTCTTATTTAGGTTGTCGGATTTTAGAATCACACATAGCCGAAGTGCATAATTCAACCAAAAAAAAAGTACACTATCTTTTCTAGTAGCTTTTTGTTGTTGTTATTTTAAACCTGTTCTATGTAAATATCATCGTAATCTGACCCACAAAGTCCCTCATCTGACACTATCCAGCCTTACTTAGTTGTCCAGTCTGAGTTTCACTGTCATGCTGTTCTCTGGGGAATCATTGCTTCAGAACCACTTTGATAATGAAACTATTTTCTATTTACATTCTTTAGCTCCTTCATAAACCAGCTTCCTAGGATGGAATCCAAGACAGAGCCACCCTCGGCTGATTACAACTCCACTGCAGGCAGTAATAGCAAGGGACCAAAAGAGTCAGAATTGAAAGCAGGATCAGAGACAGTGATATTACCAGCCATCTGTAATAACAGTTCTACCTCTACCCACCATGGACCCTGCTTGGGCAGTTTGGGAAATTAAAGGATTGAGAACAGTAGTCTTCAGAGACTCCTTCCGGTACAAAAATGTTATGACTGTAATAACTTCCTCTGGAGCAGAGCGAGTTCAAGCAGCAGATGGGTGATTGAACCATACAAACTTTCAGGTGGCTTCTGAATCTGAGAATATATGATTCTCACTTCAAATCATTACATGACAGAGTAGAAGCAAGTATTGTTTCTATAAAATTTTATCGACATTCTATGTAACTAAATTTCCTGATATGTTTCTGGCCCCCAAAAAACCCCTAATCGTAGAATTATAGAAATTTAGGGCTGAGAAGGATCCATGGGATTCTCTATTCAAACCCTATCTGTGGTCCATTGTGGAGCAGTCACTGACACAAAGACAGATCCCAGACTAAGCCTGCTTGTGAATTTACTTTTCCGTCTTGCAGCATGATTCAGAACTTTTAAGACATTGTTGACAATATGCGAGGCCTTACATTTAGCACACGATTGTGTGGGCTTTTTTGCCTGCATTCGGGCAGCTTGGACATGACCATAATTACAGGAGTGATTCTTTAAGAGAGACTCAGGAGTTGGCAGGAATAAACCTTCCATATTTTTCTGCAAAGCTTCAATAACACATATCGATTTTTCAATTGCAGTCATTCATGCCAAAATAAAAGCTGTGCAGAGGAGTGGCTGTAATGAAGTAACTACAGTGGTGGATGTGAAAGAGATCTTCAAGTCCTCATCACCCATCCCTCGAACTCAAGTCCCACTCATTACGAATTCATCCTGCCAGTGTCCTCACATCCTGCCCCACCAAGATGTTCTCATCATGTGTTATGAGTGGCGCTCACGGTAGGCACAGACGGGCAGAAAAAAATTACACACTGCCTAGGAAAAACATAAAATTCCACTTAATCGTGGTTTAAAAAGGAAGAAAAAAAAACGGCTCTAGCTTTTTGAAAAATCAGTTTGAATAGATGCCTTGGTTAGGATATCGTATCTCCTAAATATCAATTAATTCTTCATAGAATTAAGGAAAAATGGAAATATATTTGAGTGGACTCTTTAAAAATCAATTTCAGAATTCATTACCTGATTTCAAAAACTTATAGACAAATATATTACTTTGAGTAAAACCAATTCTTTTCAAAGCAATCTTAGTGTGGCAAATACTGAATTTTCTTAAGGTCTCTTTAATAACTTACAAATCAAAGGAAAATGGCCATTTGAGACTACCCTTCCACACATTTTCTTTACACTGAATTTACAACATTTGTTGGTTGGAGTGTTACATACACACACACGTACACACACGTGCACACTCACACACATCAATTATACGCATATCTCTAGCTGAAGGTGTCTCCCCACACATCTTTCCTTAGCATCTTTTTATTTATCCTTATAATATAACAAGTCCTTAAAATATAAAAACCAAACACTTCAGTGCAGGTTCCAGACTGAGTCCCATAACTTGCTGCAATCTATTTCTCCAGCAGAACTACTAATCTTTATATAAAAAGTCTTCCCTTTGATTCTCTGCCATTAATAATGCTCACCTGTTTCTTCTGGATACAGCTCAAGATTCTATTTCTGAAAAAAACAAAAACAAAAAAAACACCTTTTGAAACTGACTTCACTTGAATGCTTTCTTGTTCTGGAGTCTATCAGTACTTAGTACCCTCTTCAAAATTCCTTGCGTTCTTGGTTTTAAAGCTGTTTTGCGGCTTATATCTTGTCTTTCTAAAGACATTGAGTGAATGAATGTTGAATGAATATTTCTGGGCTGGTCTCTTGTATGACTTTTGCATCCGCTCCAGTACTAGAAGCAGTTCTGGGGATGTGCCGGGTCTCTGCACAGGTGAATGGATTATACATGAGTTAAATAACAGCCTTCGTGTCATTTTCCCATTAATTTATAGACAGTGTAATTCTGATCAAAATCCTAGTAAAAATTTTCTGGATGATTGAGATTTATGTCTTCACAAATAATGCTAATGATCATTTGGAAGAATAAACTGGTAAGGGCATGTAAAGGAGGTTCTGAAAATAAGAGGGATGAGAGGAAATGTGCCTTATGAGACAACAAGAGTAGGATAAAGCTAGGTCAAACCATGCGGAGCAACAGTAGATGTGTAGATAAATAGAGCAGAGGAAAAAGTCTTGCAACAGATTATAATTCATACAAGAACTTGTATCATGAAGGAAATATGGCAAATCAATAGAAATGAAACTATTATTTACTAAATGTTGCAAATAGCTTTACTTGGAAAAATAGTATGCATTTTCACTTTGTACTCTAAAATAAATTTCAAATGGGTTAAAGAGGTAACTAGTTTAAAAACCTAATCAAAAAGGATAAAGGTCGGTAAATAAATGTATGCTATCTGAAAAGCAAAGTGGTTTGTAAACATAAAAGTAATGTAAGAAATTACGAGGGAAAATGTCAATGCACATATTTGATGACACTATTGTGTACATAAAAATCAAAAAGAGAAAGACAAAAAGTACTTGCAACAGGTATGACAAAAGAATAGTAATCTTACTCTATAAAAAGTTCATATAAATGAATATTTAAAACATTAAGACTACAATATAGAAATACGTGTACATCTGTAAATCTATACAAAGTTGCAGAAGTACAAGTAGTCAATAAACATTAAAATATTTATCTCCTAATTCTGCAGCCCAAATAAAAACAAGATTCCATTTTTACCTAGTCTTAGTGTTGGTGAATTAAATGAAAGTTCAGCCATTTTGAAAATAATTTAGCACTATACATTGAAAACCTTAAGAAAAAAATACATACTCTGACCCAGATTTCTACATTCGGAAATCTATCTTAAGGATATAACTAGCCAGTGCACGCTAGCGATATTCAATGCAATGCTAATAATAATAGCTAAGCAAAAGAGGAGGTTCGACAGTGGAGAAATAGTTAAATATATTATGGCTATCCATAGTTATAATTTATATGGTTATGAAAGTTATATTTTTTGAATTATTCAATTATATCAGAAAATGCATACAATGCTAAAAGGAAATATACAGTGTGATCTAAAAATATATATAGGTACAAGGAAGAATGAAATGAAATATCAATAAAATATAAATGGGGAATTGTGGGGTTAACAGTGAAGAATTTTGTTTTTTACAATTTTTTGTATTTTTGAACTTCTTACTTTCATAATAAGTATTGCTTATTAAGATAAATTACTTTTTTTCAGGATGATGCTTCTTGAAAATTGTTTAGTTGAAAAATGGAGAGATCAACTTAGTAAAAGATCCATAGTAAGTATAATTAGCAATACTAGGAATATGGATTTGAATGCATGTAAAGAAATTCTATAGAATTGGGGAATTCTTCACATTCTTTCAGCTCCAGGCTATCATAGGAGCCGACAATAGCAGCAGTATTTGTCTTTTGAATAGGTAGTTGAGAGAATAATTTTTCTCACTTGGAGTTTCTACCATAAATTTCTCTTTAGCTTCAAAGGTGATTTGGTTGCATTCAATACTGATCTACTGGTTATTTCCAGATTAAATTCGTTTTTTGGTTGTTTTAGCAAACAGTCAAATACTTGAACAGAATTAATATCCAGTGGGATTAATACAGACATATACATGTAGGGGTGTGAATACCTAGTTTTAAAAATCACCCTATCACTCTATAAAGCAGAATCTTTCCCTGTATTTAAAATAATTTTAAGACTTTTGTCAAAATAAATCATATACACAGAGTAATACTTTTGTGGCCAGACCCATAATTTTAGTAGCAACATCATAGAAATATTGGCAACTCAGAGGAGTTAGAATAATTTTTTGCCCAGACATGTGAAATCATTCCAGAACTAAATAAATCAGGTCATTGGGATGGAATTTTTAAAGCATCCCTTCTCCTGAAAATATATTTAGATATATGCAGGAGAATTTGTGTTTCCACATTCACAAAAGATACTGCTACTGCCTGTGTTCTCTTACTTTGCAGGAATAAAAAGTCCTGGGCAAGGGGAGAGTGTATATTAATACTGATTTTTGGAGAAGGTAGTTTCAACACAGCCTGTCCTACTGAGTGCATTTCTGAATAACAGACCCAAACACTGCTCTTGCATCTGAGCTAAACATTCATGAGCTGCTCAGGAGCACGCTTGGTCTTACTGGACAGAAAATTCTAGCAAGATTGGTTATCTGGTTCCCCAAACTGCAGTAGATTAGATGACTTGATCTAGAAAGCAAGGCTACCATAAAAACCTGACATTGTTGAGAGGAAAGAAAGCTTTCAAGAATCATAGCTGTTTGGGTCATTCACGTTGACAGCAAATACTCCAACTTAAGAATATGAAAATATAATCATGTAATAACAACATACAGTAACAACATACAGTTTATTATTTTAGAACAGACTAGAGTTGTGCCCTAGGAGGGTGGGGACGGTGTTTTTCATTTCACTGTATTTCCCCTGCCTGGCCTATGGTCATGTTCAAATATTTTGCTAATTGAAATATACTCTAACAAAGTAGGGACTTATGTGTTATAATGAAAAGTAATGTCTATTCAAGTGGACTCACTTTTTCATTTTTTTCTTACACATTTTCATATTTAAAGAGTAAATCCTTTTCTATCAAGGAGACTTGAATATCTAGAATGACTCATTTCTCATTGGCTCTGGGTAGCTAACACTTGAGTGGATTACTGCTTGTGGGTGGAGCTTCTACCTTCCTTTGGATGTAAGAGAGTTAGGTGAACCCATAAGTGTGATAAGAAACCCTGACTTTCTAGTGTAGCTGGAAAAATTTCTGATTTTAGCCTTGGTAAAACGTTTTTTAGAAGGCTTCGCTGTATAGGAAAGTTGCATGAGAGGGCCTATGGGAAAAGTTGCATGAGTTAGGGCCTTGGGCTCTGGAGTCAGACTGGTGAATTTGAATTCCAGCTCTGACATTTGTCGGCTGTGTGACTTTCTGCAAATAATATCACTGTGCTTGTTTCCGGGTCACGACAATGGTGTCCACCTAGAAGCGCTGTTGTTTCAACGAAATGATTGCTTGTCAAGATGTCACCATATACTCAGCGCTTTCCAAAGCATCTGGTACAGGATACACGCTCACCATCGTAGGGTAGAGTAGCTATTATAATCTTGGATGTCTTGATGAATATATTACAGTGAAAGTCTGCATTATTTTGGATATTAGTTTAAGAGCATAAAGGGGTGAGATGTACTTGACAGTCATGTGTACACGTTGCCTCCCAGCAGTGGGAAGAGAGGCTGCAGGAACAACAGAGGACAATCCAGGACAAGAAGCGCACGGCGGGGCGCACCAGCCGCAGTAACGCCCCGAAACCCAAGGGGAAGCCGCCTGCCCCCAAACCAGCCAGCCCCAAGAAGAACATTAAAGCTAGGAGTGCTCCAAAGAGAACAAACCCAAAACGAGTGTGAGCTAACTGCTTTCCAAAATGGGGACTTCCTCTCAGGGTGAGGCCAGGCATTACCCACGCAGCCTGTAGAAGGCCGTACACCCCTTGCCTTAACAACTGCAGTCCTTTTCATAGACACGTCTTGCAGCATTTTTCTTAATGATATGCTTCAATTTTTCTTTTTAAGTCACTACAAGCCATAGTGGTAGGTATGCCTTTTGGTATGGAAGGTATATGAAAGCTGGTCGAAAGAGCTTATTGAGTTGAGAATAAACCATGTGCATACTCTGCGGGAGCTCCACGTGGGGAAAGATGCTTTTGTTCTTACAATTTGACCTAATATGTGCATTGTAAAGTAAATGCCGTACTACAAACAAAACACCCAATTTTTTTTAACGATATGTTTTATTTCAGTTGGTTGTTAGGATGTTAGCGATTTTTAAAAATGTGATTGAAAATGTAATGCTTCTAAGGAGGAAATCAAGAGGAATGAATGTCTAAAAGATCTTATGTGTTTACTGTTAGCAGAAGAATTTTTGTGATGAAAGGGGATTTTTGAACAATCTAGAAAAGTAGGATATGGAAAATTGTAATGAGTTTGGTTTTTGGTTCTTTGTTTTTACGAAGAAGCCTTTCTGCTCTGTTTTTAGCTAGAAGCTCTAAAAACGAAAACAATAGTATTGTTAAATAAATAAAAGGGAAAGGCAGACAGACAAAGTCTGGATCCTTGTTTTCTAGTTACCATGCCATGGTGGAGATGCTCTGATTTTATATGCACAATGTTTATCAGTTCCCTTTAAGTAGGACCAGAAACTGTTTGTTTCTCCTCTTATGATTTAGGTACCAATCAGTCAACCCCAAGCATCTCACACACGTGGGTGTGGTGCTCATCTCTTCCCAGGACGTCCCAGGTATCTTGATGCCCAGTCTCTCTGCTGATTGCTGGTGCTCCCAAGGGTGCCTTGGGTCTGAGGTGGCAGGGTCGGAATCCAAAGCCCCTGGTCCCCAGCCTGCTATGGCAGCCTTGCCACACACCAGCTCTGCACTTGGAAAAAGCAACTGTAATCACTTGTTCATCCAGCATTCAAGAATGTAGAGGAGCAATCTGAAAGCTTAAGAGTAAAATCTCCTTTAGATGTACCATTGTCCCTGCTTCTCAGAGAAGGGGTAAGTTACAGGTTGCATTCACACATGATTTTTAAATTTCATCTCTGTAACCATTAGGACACAGAAGTGAGGTGTGTGGGTAAGCCAGGGGAAAATGGAGAAATAGCGTTAATGAGGATGCTGGCAAGGGCACCCATCTCCTCCTGAAAGTGTAACTTCACCTGCATCGCTACCCCAGGGCAGCAGAATTGAAGGAATCCAATAGATCCACCCACACAGGGGTATCAATAAAATACTCCGCTTTGGCCCTTAAGGAAAGCCAGACAGGTGTTTGGCATAGCATCTAAATTAAAGAAACCTAGGAAAGGCCATGAAAAGGCATTGGTACCCTAGCTTACCTCCTTAGCATAGTAGGAGTCTGGGGAGGGGGGCGCGGGGAGGCGAGTTACAACTCTCAGTGGAAATGAAGAAAAAAGGCTTCTGTAAAACTTTTTTTTTAAAGTGCAAAACGACATAATAAGAGTTTGGAGATGACTTTACAAACTTAAACACTGTTTCCTTTGAATATTTAACTGAAATCATATACTGCATATCACACAAAAACGTAATTAGACACATTTATTAGTTTGATTAATTGATAAAGGATCGAGGCCACTGTTTGGATATTTATTATAAAAAAGTTGAAAATGAACAGCAGCCCACACTGAAAGTAATATAACAAGTGTGGAAGTGGCTTTTGTGTGAGAGCCACGAATTTATTTTTCTCCCTTAAAATATTTTCTCCACCTAGATACATATGAGAGGTAAATATAAATATATGGAGAGGAAGGCTGTGGTACTATCTCCGAAATAGGTATTATTCGAGAGTTGGGTTACTTTAATCAGAAAAAAATAACAATTTTGCAATATGTTCATCAACAAGTTTCATAATTGAGGACAACTAGAGGCATTTATTTTTAAAAATACTTTTGTTGGTCTTTCAATGATACAGTAAATATGTATTTTCTATAAAGCATTCAATAAATACATAAAATAAAAAAATAATGGAATTAAAATCCTACCTAATCCCACTCACCACTCTGCAGAGATTATCACTGTTAGTATTTTGGTATATAATTTTCCAGGTGTTTCCTCTGCATTTATATAAATACTCGCTCTGTACGTCCATTCTTTTCCCGAGTTCTTGTATCATCTTTTTTTTTATTTTTTAACATCTTTATTGGAGTATAATTGCTTTACAATGGTGTTAGTTTCTGCTTTACAACAAAATGAACCAGTTATATATATACATATGTTCCCATATCTCTTCCCTCTTGTATCATCTTTACGATTGTTACTCTGAACTCTTTCTCGGGTAGATTGCCTATCTCCACGTCACTTAGTTGTTCTTCTGGGGTTTTATCTTGTTCCTCTGGAACATATTCCTCTCATTTTGTCTAAATTTCTATTTATATTTTTATATATGTGGAAGGTTAGTTACGTTTCTTGACCTTGGAGAAGTGGCCCTCTGTCGGGGACGTCCTATGTGTCCCAGCAAGTACACTCCCCTCTTGTCGCCCAAGGTTCACGGACCAGCTGGTCCCAGGGTAGGTTCCAATCTGCGTTTTCAGACTCGATTCCGCAGGCTGCTGGATCGTGGCTTCTTCGCTTCTGGTGTCTGCCGCCTGCTAGTCTAAGTGGCTTGCGCAGACTTCCTGGTGGGTGGGGCGGTGCCTGCCCACCGGTGGGTCTTGGCCCTCTGGTGGGCAGGGCCATGCCTAGAGGTGGGTGTGGGCTCAGCCTGTCCGCTGATGGGTGGGGCTGCGTTCCCGCCCTGTTGCTTGTTTGGCCTGAGGCGCCCTAGCCCTGGAACCTGCCAGGGCCGGCTCTTGGTGCCCCCATGGTATCCTCCAGGGACTTCCCTGGTAGTCCAGTGATTCAGACTCTGCTCTTCCAACGCAGGGGGTGCGGGTCCTGGTCAGGGAACTAAGATCCCACATGCAGCACGGCAGGGCCAAAAAAAAAAAAAAACCCAAACCAAAATGGCCGCCTCCAGGAGCGCTCACGCGGAGGACTATTCCCCCAGGACCTGCGCCTCCAGTGCCCTCGCTCCCACAGTGAGCCACAGCCGACCCCCGCCTCGCCCGGAGACCCTCCAGGACCCGCAGGTAGGTCTGGCCCAGGCTTTGCTTTGCCCTGGGTCCCGGTGCACGTGAAACCTTGTGTGCGAGTGGAGGAGTCTCTGTTCCCCCCGGCCCTGCGTGGCTCCTGCACGCAAGCCCCGCTGGCCTTCAAAGCCAAATGCTCTGGGGGCGCCTCCTCCCGAGGCCAGACCCCCAGGCTGGGGAGCCTGGCATGGGGCTCAGAGCTCTCACTCCTGTGGGAGAGCTTCTGCGATATAATTGTTCTCCAGTTTGTGGGTAGCCCACCTGGGGGTATGGGATTTGATTATATCGCGAGTGCGCCCCTCCTGCCATCTCGTTGGGTTTCTTCTTTGTGTCTTTGGATGTAGCATATCATTTTTGGTAGGTTCCAGTCTTTGCTATCAATGATTGTTCGGCAGTTAGTTGCGATGCGGGTGGCTCGTGAGAGGGGGGCGAGCCCACGGTATTTCGATTCCACCACCCTGTCCTCTTGATGAAGACACCTTCTTCAGAAAACTCCCAGTTCTTTCAAATTCCATCAGTTTGGTTACCAAATACTTTCCCCCTGGCTTCTGCTGGTTGCTAGCAATGCCGGGCATTCCTCGGCTTCAGGCAGGGTAACTCCCATCTGTGCCTCAGCGGTCACGTGGCGCTCGTCCGGGTGTCTGTGTCCAAATTCCCCTCTTCCTGACGGTCACTCCTCTCGCAGTCCACCATCTCCCTCTATGCGTTTATATAATGATGAAAAAAAAATTAGAAGCCTATTATACATACTGTTTCATAACCGTCAGTCGGCCCTTTATATGAAGTAGCTCTCATGTCAATAAAGCCCAGGCCAGCTTATTTATTATAATGGCCACGAGGTATTCCGCGGTGAGCATTACTCAACAGCCCCTCATGTAATTAGGGATTTAGGTTGTTTCTTAACTGAATGTACTGAATAACTGAATAAACAGCTTGGTAGCTAATATCTGTGTACATCCTTAATTAGTTCTGGGGGATAAGTTCATTGAAGTGGCATTGCTGGGCCAAGGAGTATGCCCAGCAAGGGAAGTTCTTGATCCTATTGTCAGTAACCCTCCAGGATGCTTGGCCCATAGGTGTATCAAAGTGCTGATTTTCCAGCTCCTTACTAAAATTATCTTCTCCTTCTCGTAACTTTTATAAATTTTAGCTGGGGACTAGATGTCTCTCTTCATCTGTGAGCCCTCTGCTGGCAACATTCTCCACACTCCAGGCAGCTGGGGAATGAATGACTAGTTTATTTTGTCAATAACTTGTGAGGATGGACTTTCGAATGCGGCTCCCAAGGCATGCCAGGGGAGGACAGATTTTTATGACCCAAATAATTTTCCACTGTTATTGGGTTCTCAGGATCAGGAAGAAAAATGAGGCACAAAAGAATACAAGCCATAAATGCTGTGTTGTATTTTGTCTAATGAACATGTGTTGCTTTTATAATTAGAAGATACTACAAACATTATGAAAGAGAGAGAGAGAGAGAGATTGAATGTATCAATAGTATGGATTTAAGCCAGGTAGACACGCAGACGTGAAAACTGTTTTATTGCTTACATGTGTGTTAGTCTGGGTGCTCAGAGAAGCAGGCACCAAAATGGAATTAAATGAAATGTGGACCCTATTAGAGGAAACACCTGTGAGAGAGAGTGAGGCAGGAGGTGAACAGGGCTGGGAGAACCATGACAGAGAGGGAAGAGGGGCGGAAAGCTGGGGCGGAAGCCCTCCAGACTGCCTCAACCTCTACGGAAGGTTTGGCAAGGCTACTGGGGAACGTGGACCCAAGCCAGCCATCAGGGAGTCCCTAGTCTCCAGGGACAGCTCTGCCTTCCTATCCTACAGATCTTAACAATATTTACTATTATACCTAAGAGAGGTCTCTTTCTACTAGAATGTAAGGAAACCTTTTTTTGAAAGGCAAGTTTTGAAAGAAACTCTGTGGTGTGTAATTTTGCCTTTACAATTTCAGGCGGTATATGCATAAGTCTAATATATCTAGTAGCAATATTTATATGAGAGTAGTTTTATAACTAGATAATTCTAAAACCTGTAGCTGTAATATCTAGATGAGAACCACTTTGTAATGGCAAGTTTGGATCACATTAGTGATATATTTTAGAGGGAAAAAGAACATACTTGATTAGCAATTAAATTTAGATGAGAGGGAAGACTCAGAACCAGAGTGCTGATCCCAAATCTCAGAAAGTTGTAATAACATGAATAATAGGATGAGGTCTAAAAGCAAAAGCAAAAAATGGTATTATGAATAAAGTTCCATTATGGTATCAAGGGATATCTAAGACGCTGTTGTTGAATCAAACAGATGGGTGTTTAACATTTATTAACATTTTTAGTCATCTAATGGATTCAGATATTTATTGTCATTGAGATATTTCAGCAGCTGAAAATCACGTGAACCATTGCTTAGTAACCTTTCTTCCTTTCTGAAAAGCATTTAAAAAAACTGGCTTTGGAGGTCATCCAAAGTAGCTTCCAAGGGGTGAGCAAGTTCGGACAGTACAGGCAAGCATCTGTAGCAGCAGATTTTTTTTTTTTTTGGTTGCATTGGGTCTTCGTTGCTGCGCGCGGGCTTTCTCTAGTTGCGGCGAGCGGAGGCTACTCTTCGTTGCGGTGCACGGGCTTCTCATTGCGCTGGCTTCTCGTTGCGGAGCACAGGCCCTAGAGTGCGCAGGCTTCAGTAGTTGAAGCTTGCGGGCTCAGTAGTTGTGGTGCACGGACTTAGTTGCTCCGTGGCATGTGGGATATCCCCGGACCAGGGATCGAACCCGTGTCCCCTGCATTGGCAGGCAGATTCTTAACCACTGCACTACCAGGGAAGTCCCCAATAGCAGCAGATTAACTCCAGTGAAAAGAAAGGGCGCCAAGAGACTCCAGGAAGAGGGCCATAAAATAGAGCATAGCGTATTTTAGGAAATCTGTCCATTTTCTGCAGAGCATCTGCTTACAGGGAACAGGATCCAGGGAGGGGATCCTGGAAAGTATTAGGCTGTAATCCAGAATGCTTCAGGTCTCCTGTCTTGGAAGGGGGCTAGAGGGGCCAAGTAGGGCAATCAGAGAAGCTCTGGCTTCAGGGTCAAGGTGCATGACTGAGCCAGTGCTGAAGGATGGAGACTGTTGTGTATGGTACAGTTCATGAAGAGCAGACTCATCCCCAGCTCTTTCTGGCTGTTGGGATAGTGGTGCTTCCTTCCCGCACAGGCACACCATTGCCTACCTTCTGAGCCAGTCCGTGTATTTGGACCCATATCCCCACCATCATGCGCTTCTCATCATGGTTACAAATCTCAGCGCAGTGCTTCAAGGCACGCCCACCAATTTTGCAGTCCTCAACTGCCTCAGCCACAGTGGCCAAGGATATGTGTGTTCTGCCTAAAGTCCAGCTAAGATTCAAGATCACATCACTGAGCTGGAGCCTTGATACCTTTCTAGTCTTTTCTAACCTTTCTTCCTCTGGGGCAAGAAGATATTCCCAGATACCACCAACCCCGGCTCCCCCAAATGCCTGCCTCATGCTGCCTCAAGACCAACGCTGGCACAAACTAAAGTTTAATTGAATATCTCTTTGGACATTGATTGTTAGTTTTCTGACTACTGAAAGCTAATTCTACAATCTGAAAGAAATAGCTTTTCCCTACGTCTTGCTTTTAAAATCTTCGTACAGCTGCGTACACATAGACAACTGAGTGAATCATGCCATCTGCTGGTTATTAAGAGTTTTTGGCTTTCATGCTTTTGAAGTCCTGGACCACTCCTGGGGCAATGACAGTGTGTCACTTAACACAGTCATATTACGAATGCCCGATACTACCAGGCGTGTCAAGCATCAGATAAGTGTATTCAATTTGAAGGGGTGAGGAAGGTGAAGGTTTTTACTCTATTTATTTCTCTGCATAATCCAAAGAAACCCAATAATTAATTTACCCTAGTTTGAAAAAAAATGTATTCTAAAGGGAAAAAATGAGAACTATACTTATGGATAATTCACATGCAATTAGATTTTGTATAAGTTACCAATACAGATGGGTATTCACAGGTGTGCTTTTCAAAACCGTGCTGGAATACTAGAGTTTGGGAGTGAGTAATATTTTATAAATACCAAATGATCAAGAGGTGATGTCAGCAAGATGGTGGCAGAGTAGGAATCCCTAGACCATCCTTCCCCCCAAACTCACCAGGTCAGCAAATATTCATGGACAGATTCCCTTGTGAGAAATCCAGAAACTAAGTGAAAAGCCCCTGCACTGTAGGTGGCCATGAAAGCAGATCCTCCCACCTCAGGCTTAAGGCACCCTTAGGAGTGCCACACAACCAGAAAGAGACCCCTAACTCCAGGGGAGGGAAGGAGTTCGTTCACGTGTCCGGCGCTCCAGCTTTCCTGAGAGGGATCCCAGAGGATTAACTTCTGTCTTGTCAGCCTTGGAGTTGGATGGACCCACTGCAGCCTAACAACCTGGCGAGAACAGAGATGGCAGCTTAGGATGTCAAACATCAGAGGTCCCTCTTGCGCCCAGTGCAGAGAGAGCAGATGAAAAAGCAGAGGTCTGGAGAGAGGCCCCGCATCCCACATGGGCAGGAGGGCCATATGGGCTCTGGCTCGAACGACCTCTGCAGCCTCCCCATCAGAGGCACAGTGTGAGGACCTGCTTGTCCAGGCACTTGCCTTGGTGGGGAGGGGTAGGACCTGGCCACACAGGCCTAGAGGGCATGGATGCGCGCGGCCAGGTACCGGGGTTGCAAACTGCGCTGCCCACACCATGCAACTCTCAGCACCCAAGGAGCCCAGATCCCCACCCCTGTGTCTGGACTGTGTAGGCAGAGGCAGGGTCACAGGCATGGGTACCTAGGGGCCATAGTGCCCTGCCAAGGTCAGCTCACTCCAAAAGAAAGGAACCTGTTTCCCTGAAGGTTTTAATTCTTATGAAGACCAGTTTATCTTTTTCCTTTGTTGCCTGTGCTTTTGGGGTCATATTTAAGAAACTATTGTCTAATCCAAGGTCTTGCAGATTTTCCCCTGTTTTTTTCTTGTAAGAGTTTTAGCTCTTAAATGTAGGTCTTTAATCCATTCTGAATTATTTTTTTGTATATAGTGTAAGGTCAGTGGTCCAAGTTCATTATTTTAAAGGATAGCTAGTTTTCCCAGTACTATTTACTGAAGAGACTGTTCTCTTCTCACTGAATGACCTTGGCACCTTTGTCAAACACCAACTGACCATGGATGTAAAAGTTTATTTATAGGTTCTCAGTTCTATTCCATTTGTTTATGTGTCTTTCCGTATGCCACTACCACACTGTTTTGACAGTGTCACTTTGTAATACGTTTTGAAATCAAGAAGTGAGAGTACTCCAACTTTGTTCTTTTTCAAGATTATTTTAGCTATTCTGAGTGCCTTGAAATTTGATAATGAATTTTAGTATGGGTTTTTCCATTTCTGCAAAAAATACTGTTGGGATTTTTATAGAGATTGCATTGAATCTCTATATTAATTTGGGTAGCATTGTCATCTTAACAGTATTAAGTTTTCCAGTCCATGAACACAGGATATCTTTCTACTTATTAGTGTCTTCTTTAGTTTCATCATTGTTTTATAAGTTTCAGTGTAAAAGTCTTGCACTCGTACATGGATTAAGTTTACTCCTAAGTATTTTACTCTTTTGATGCTGTAGTAAATTGAATTGTTTTTTTAAATTAATTTTTATTGGAGTATAGTCACTTTACAATGTTATGTTAGTTTCTGCTGTGCAGCAAAATGAATCAACTATACATATACATATATCCCCTCTTTTTTTGGATTTCCTTCCCATTTAGGTCACCATAGTGTATTAAGTAGAGTTCCCCGTGCTATACAGCATGTTGTCATTAGTTTTATATATAGTATCAATAGTGTATATGTGTCAATCCCAATCTCCCAATTCCTCCCCCCACCTTCCCCCTTGGTATCCATACATTTGTTCTCTACGTCTGTGTCTGATTTTGAAAATCCTACCCATTTTTCAAGATCTATTTCATCCCTTACCTTCTCCAGCTCCTACCCATCAGACATACACCCATCAATTCAGCCCTGAAATATACACTAATTCAAAATCCCCTGTATTATTCATAATGTTCCCCTCATCACAAAAGGGAGGGATATGTTGATGTTAGATCTACACCATATTTCTAATAGATGCTATAAACAGAATGTAGTTCTACTCACCACCACCCCCCAGTCATTCATCATTGACATGCTTAATAATGTACTGTCTGATGATAGTTATAATTAGGTATTGTTTCTGTGAGTTTTGTCTCCCCATTATATTTGCATTTCCCTGAAGGTAGCAGCCTTCATGATGGTGTATTAACCAAGAACCCACAGTTCAAGCGGACATACAATACATATTTTCCCAACATAAATGTTCAAGGGTTGTGACATCATGCTTTGGTTTATAGTTGAGTCAGACAAATGGAACGAGCTGCACTATACCAGAATTTATTTCATGCATCTAATATTTTGATACAGTCTCCTTATACCTGGAGAAATCATAGCCTAAATGGTAATACCAGGAAACAGCGTGCTTGCTCGTCTGTCCCTGAGGAACCTGCTGGGTGTGGAGGGCTCGCTCCCCTTCACTTTGCTTCCTTATTATGCTCCGGAGGCTGAGTCTCCATTTGACTCATCCAGGTGGGCACTCCACTCCACACGTGAAGAAGCTGTAGAGTCATGTTCATGTCAGCAGCCAGTGTCGTATAGGTGTACATTTGTGAGCCTGCTCTTTGAAAGTAAAGAAGGAAAGCAGGTTTGATGGGAAAAATCATCTGTCTTACACTCTGTCTCCCACATTGCCCAGGATAGAAAAGTTTTTAAGTTTTCCGTCAACAACTGAGCAGACTCAATCCACATACGTATTATGTTGCTACTTCTCCCCAGTAAGCACCTCTTTGTCAAGGAATAGAAATGATTGCCTTTTACTCTACACTTTCTAATATTCTATTCTATTCCCTTATCATATAGCACCCAGCGGTAGTTAATAGGCTCCAAGTTTCCAGATACTTAGAGAATAGAGTTGAGGCTGCTGAATGAGACTTTGGCCATTCAGAGTGAAGAAGTGGAGGGAGATCAAGGAGAGAGACTGATGAGCCTGAGTCATGGCAGATGGCACGGACAGCTCAAGACCAAGGCTTGCAAACCCACGGGTGTCTCTCTTGCCCCACTGTCTCCCAGGTCCCTGGCATCTACAAGGCTTGGTTTTGAGGCTCCCAGGCTGCTGTGGAACCGCAGAGTGTGTCTGGCAGGTGAGGTTTAATACAGGGACATGGGAAAAGGTCTGGTCTTTCCACAACAGCCTTGTCTTAGGCCCAGCCACTGTAACAAGAAAAGAGGATAGAGTAATAATTAAAGAGGTACTGTACTTTAGTTTTTCTCAGGGTTCTCAGCAACAAAGTCTTCAAACACTCTATTAATAGCCTCCACTGCCTCCTGCATATCAGAAGCTCCATGGACAGCATTTTTCAACATACTTCTTCCAAACTGGGCTCGGATAGAGTCTGGGGACAGAAATCTTGCTTCCTCTGGGTCTGTGGGACCCATCAATCGTCTCCAGTCTGAAATAGCATTCCACTTGGTCAGGATCATGACCAAAGATGGACCCCTGCAAACAACAATGGTTTCAGAAGACTTGGGCTATTGGCAACTGTAGAGACTGCACACACAGCTAAAGACAGAATGCCACAGCTCCATCCAGAGAGCTCATCCTTATTCTTTGTCCTTGTCAGTGTGATTTTGTGCTTTCTTTTTCTTCTTTGTTTATTAATTTTTTTTTTTTTTTTTGGCTGCACGGTGCGTTTTATAGGATCTTAGTTCCCCAACCAGGGATCGAACCTGTGCCCCCTGCACTGGAAGCTGGGAGTCCTAACCACTGGACTGCCTGAGAATTCCCTTGCAACAGCGTTTTGTGCTAGAAGAGTGTTGTAGTTTAATTGCAGGGATACGTGCCAGGCACTATTCCAATTACTTTCAATGTAAATTACTTCCAGTATATGAAGTACTTAGCCCTCACATTCGTACCTGTGAGGTAGGTACTATTATCATCCCCATTTTATGGATAAGGAAACTAAGGCAAAGATTAAATATGTTGCCAAAGCAGGGATTTCAAATCAGATACCTCTATATCTAATGTGAAAACCTAAAAAAACAGAGAAAGGAAGGAAGGAGAGAGAGGAAAACAGAGAAGGAAAGAAGGAATTAGACAAAAAAAAAGAACTCCAAATACTACCAGGGTGTCTTTTCATGAATTGTATTAAAAATGCAATATTTTCATGAATTTTTGTATTTTTCAAAGTTTCTACAATGAACAGTTACCACTTTTATAATGTAAAGACCTATATATCAGAAACTTACTCCGATAAAACTTCCAATACATCTTTATAAAAGGCTTTTCCTTTTATTTTAAAATAAATTTTGTCCGCTTCCTCTTCAGTTAGGAGCGTCTCCTTCATCTGTGTTATATCAAATCCAGCCTCTTTGATAAGCGTCAGGATATCCTCTAGGGAAAACAGATATTTGGTAGTCTTGGCAGACTGCCTCTATTTTTGCTCCGTATTCAAGTGGATTGAAATAACTAAGGAAGGTCACACTGTTACTTGAATCCAGTGGTTTTAAAAAACCAAAACTATGCTAAACTAAACTGAAAAAGCACCAGTTGGACGTTCGGAAGAACTTCAGTATGTTAACGCGGATGTTCAGTCTCAGATCCATCTTTCCAGAATCCATCTGGGAGGAAATCTGCTCCTGGGCTAAAAGTGAACACGTGTTTTCATCCCTGTGCTGCACGTGCCAAGGAACTTCCTGCTGCATGTGGATTGAAAGGGCCAGCCTCTCTGAGCTCTTCTCCCTGAACCGGCAGGGCACCGCTACGGGAACTAAATGAAGTCAATCTGGTCAAAATTCCACCAACAGCCTAAACTTGGAGCACTCCCTCGTGACGATGAAGGTGCTCATTGCTTTATTCTTTCAACTTTACTGCAGTTTGCAAAATTTCACAAAATGGAAGAAAAATGTATACATCGGCTCTATTTTTATATATTTACCTCTTTGCTCTTGTGTTACATGAGGTTTAATCAGTGCTGCAGTGTGTTCAGGAGGAAAGAAATACTGTATGTCCCTTTCGGCAGCTTCTAGTGAATCACTTCCATACAACTGGTTGATAGGCAAACTCTCCATTGCAAATTGTGCGCATAAACTTTGAAAAAGAAGTCAAGTCAAAAACTTATAACATGACATATAATATAACACAACATAACACAATGTAAAACTATTCATGTTTGCATCGTGCAAGCGGAAGTAACTGCAGAGTGGCTTGGGGCATGCTACTTCCTTCCAGGGAGGAACAGTCGTTAGGAAGAAAGGACATGAACATTTCAGTAATCGTCATAATGGAGACTGACAGCTGTGAAAGATGGAATGAACGCCCTGGTGCAGTGAAAAAGCACAGACTATAGAACCCTGGTGGCATCACTTGTTAGCTGTGTGATACTGGGCAATTAGTTCCCTTCTCTGCTTCAGTTGTCTCAAACATAAATATGATAATAAACCCTGTTTTGGAAGGAGGTCTTGAGGATGTAATCAGATGATGTATTTGAAATATATGGTACATATTAAGCTGTCAATAAATATTCCTTCCCCTTCTTTCATCACTAAATAATATCAAGCACTAGAGACGTCATTTGACCCTATATCAAAGATACCAAATTATAAATATTGAATCCAGGAGACACTGCAGTGGAACCCTCCAGGTGAGCAAAAGCAATAAAAGAGGAGAGTACAGGATGGCTTTGTGGAGAGAGGCAGGAGTGACATTGATGGTAATGGGCAATCCATGTTGGGGTAGACACTTTATTCTGGTTCCGTTTCTGTATGATAGATGAATACATACCTCTAAAATCAGTTATCGTTCCTCAGTGTTTTTCAGTTGCCCCTTTTTCTTTCTGTCTCTCCATCTATTTATATTTCAGTAGAGGAGATACTTATCGCTCATTACATTTTCTGCCCTTCACACACAGTCCTAAGCAAGCGACCCACAAAATCCAGCCGCAGTGAATAACCTCCATTCTTGTTAATAGGCTGACATCACTGGAAACTTGGCTTTCTGTCCTCAACTTAAAGACCCTCTTCTTGCCTCTCTGGTTTCAGTGACCATTTCAGATTTCCTTTTTTCGTTATCCAACTTGACCCTCCCACTCAGCCCTTGGCTGTTCTCACACCTCTGGTTTGAAGATGTTAGCAGACTAAGACGCTTGGAGCCTGTGATTGCCAGGGATGGGGGATTTGCACAATGAATGATAAAAACAGCCTAACCCATCATCAGCACTGACTCCAATGCAGAGAACTACAAGCAGCCCCTCTGTTAGGCTGTTAGACGTGGTTATTGGAAAAAGTGTGTGTGTGTGTGTGTGTGTGTGTGTGTGTGTGTGTGTGTGTAAGGATGGGAGAGAAGGGTTGCTGTGTTTCTCTTGCATGCAAGTGACTGTATTTCAGATTAAGCAATGGGGAGTGTAGACTATGACGCCCAAGGGCAGGAAAGGGCAGAGCTCTGCTGAAGGAGTTATTTCTAAAGCAACCTGGAAAACGGGGACCGATCAAAAATAATAGTTAAGAGTAATTGTGAACTTGTGGCAACATTAGGGGTCGTAAGGGCTTAGGATGGGAACTCTCACTATAATAGTGGGGAGGAGAGGGGCAATTACTGAGTTCCTTCACCTGGAGAAAATGTCTCTATGCTGGTACGTAGCCTCCACACGTGGAACCACAATTTCTAGAAGAGTGTGCCTACATGCATAGGCCAGGTATTGATAGGAATTCCTCTCTCTGATGCCATGTATCGCATTCTCTGCTACATTTCATTTAAGAGGTTCTGTGGCACCCTGCTCATTCCACATAAAGAGTGTCCAACACATATTATCCTTTACAGTAATTGTCTGGCACAGGAGCAAAGACGTAAGTGAGTAGGGCTAAAAGGAGGGGTGAAATATATCCATTCAGGACAAGTGCAATTCATGATCTCCTACCCAAAAGAAAACATTGCAACTTTTATATACGTGATGTTTCATTAGTCCTGTTATTTATTGTGGCAGTGGGTATGCAAGTTTGCTGTGCCTGATAAAGCATCTTTATTCCTGCTCACTTAAAGGAGGGCTCTTCTTCCCCTGACTTCAGTCCTACTCTGAAGTCAGCACAAAGAATTCAAGCGAATTACAATTCAGTTTGTTTCCATCAGCTGCATGCCAAGAATGGAAATGCATGAGATACTATCTCCCTCCTCTAGCTGAGACCAAGCCCAACAGCTAAGATCAAAAAATATTTTTAAAATGCTGCCTAGGTGACAGCTAACATGCCAGGGTTGAACTGATTACAAAGTTCTAAGAGTCATCAGTACTTTAACTTAGTAAATGTTCCCACCAAATTGTAGGCTACATATTGTTAATCATCGTCTTGAAACTCTTTTTTTTTTTTAACATCTTTATTGGAGTATAATTGCTTTACATTGTTGGGTTAGTTTCTGCTGTATAACAAAGTGAATCAGCTATACGTATACATATATCCCCATATCCCCTCCCTCCCACCCTCCCTATCCCACCCCTCTAGGTGGTCACAAAGCTCCGAGCTGATCTCCCTGTGCTATGCGGCTGCTTCCCACTAGCTATCTATTTTACATTCAGTAGTGTATATATGTCAGTGCCACTCTCTCACTTCATCCCAGCTTACCCTTCCCCCACCCCATGTCCTCAAGTCCATTCTCTACGTCTGCGTCTTTTATTCCTGTCCTGCCCCTAGGTTCTTCAGAACCATTTTTTTCCCTTAGATTCCATATATATGTGTTAGCATACGGTATTTGTTTTTCTCTTTCTGACTTACTTCACTCTGTATGACAGACTCTAGGTGCATCCACCTCACTACAAATAGCTCAATTTCGTTTCTTTTTATGGCTGACTAATATTCCATTGTATATATGTGCCACATCTTCTTTATCCATTCATCTGTCGATGGACACTTAGGTTGCTTCCATGTCCTGGCTATTGTAAATAGTGCTGCAATGAACATTGGGGTGCATGTGTCTTTTTGAATTATGGTTTTCTCTGGGTATATGCCCAGTAGTGGGATTGCTGGGTCATATGGTAGTTCTATTTGTAGTTTTTTAAGGAACCTCCATACTGTTCTCCATAGTGGTTGTGTCAATTTACATTCCCACCAACAAGTGCAAGAAGGTTCCCTTTTTGTCTTGAAATGGTTGTGATCAATTAAAGGATCTGAAGCAACTATCACACGCTTCTCAAAAGAACTTCTCCTAACTAGTGCATGGGGCAGATGTGTCTGCCAAGATATGGCCTTTTGGCTGGGTAGCTACCACCTACCAGTCTCAAACCAAGCAGCCCACAACCTTCTCTTGCAAAGCCTCAGAAGAGAACCTTGGACTAGAGCTCTGGTTCCTATACCCCCATATCCCCCCAAAAATCACCATGGCTCCCATGAAAAAAGTTTGAGACCCATGACGTGAATCATACCTGTCTGGAAGGTATTCTTTGGCTTCTTCCACAGAGCTTGGTCCAATTAACTGTTTCCAGTGTCCTAAACCATTTTCTCTTACTAAAACAAGGACTAGAGATGGACCGCTGTTAGAAAAGAAGAAACAAAGTTAATGAAAGGATAGCTTGTAGCTATTTATAGGTAGATAATACAAGTGTGTTTGTTAGATGAAAAAAGTAAAATAACCCTTTTTATCAAGAGTATGAAATTAATTTCTGTTGGTGTACTCTCGAGAGCATCTTCATAAAAGAATGGAAGCGGAGAAAGGAAGGGAAGAGAAGGGACTTGGTTCTGATAGGGTGATCCCTATATCGTTCCCATGCTCCTGCTGATTTATATACCCTTGCTGGCTTTCTGCCTCAGCTGCTGTTTCATTTACTCTTCTAGAAACCTGACAGATTTCTAGCATCCCATTCGTCTCCTAGGACTAGTGATCTTTAGGATTACCAAAGTCCTTGAGAGTCAGTCACAGCTCTCTTACTTGGACTTCAGGATGCTGCACACTCTGGCTTCCAGCATTCAACTCAACTGGACTCCAGGGGCTTCACCCAGAACCTTGCTTTACTCTAATAACATTCCAGGAGGACCAGAGAAGACACACAGTTGAGCAGGGAATCAAAATGGGAGGGAGATTGGCAAAGAAGTAGACTCAGCACATCTTTACAGCATTGAGAGATTTGGCAACTTGTACAGAAAGCAGGGTTAAGAGGTTTAAATGATTCAAACGTAAATCAGACTGTGCTTTCTCAACCTGCAATCTGTTTTACCTGGTCATATCTTCTATAAGATTTCCAAAATAATCTTTATTTTCATGTTCCATGCACAGTGTTTTTGCTTCTTTTTCTGATAACACTATTTGTCTCTGCATCAGTATTTTAAAGCCTTCGTCTTGAATAATATTCAAAACATCCTCTAAATAAAAAGTCATAATAAGTTTTAAAGTGCTAGATTATTGGTTATACACACAATACAGACTGTATTATCATGAGGACATAGAATGCATTTCATTCTCATGTGAAATTTAAGTTTATAAAAATAGCTTATTAGATTTTAATTTAAGGTGAATAATATTCTTAACATATCAAATTTATTATGCCATTTCCAGTTTTTCAGTGGACCAAAATCTATAGGTTTGGGGATGGGGGATTTATAAAAAAAAAAAAATTGTATAGTCAGATAAGTTTTATTTCACACATAAAGTTAATATAATGACATTCTCAGATGTGCTAGGGCTCAGAAAACAAAATAATTAAGTACATATCTTTTTTTTTTTTTCTTTGCGGTTCGCGGGCCTCTCGCTGGTGTGGCCTCTCCCGTTGCAGAGCACAGGCTCTGGACGCGCAGGCTCAGCGGCCATGGCTCACGTGCCCAGCCGCTCTGCGGCATGTGGGATCTTCCCGGACCGGGCCACGAACCCGTGTCCCCTGCATCGGCAGGCGGACTCTCAACCACCGCGCCACCAGGGAAGCCCTCGTATCTTTTAATATAATTATACTAGAGCTTATTCAAATCCCATGTACAAAGTAGTTAAACAATTTATACTTTATTCCTTACCTTTCCTTTTGTTAAAGAGGGCTGGTCGAAGTAATGCCAGTATCTTTTCTAATTTTATGCCTTTAATTTTTTTAAAATCAGGGATGAAGACATCAATAAACTTAGTATTACTTATATTCTCTTCAACATCACAAAACTGAGATATTTGTTGTCTTTCTAGGTATTCTTGGAAACTGTTGAAGTCCAAAATATAATTATAAACTGAAGTTTAATAATCATGCCAGAAAATTAAAATTGATAATATGTTCACAAATAAATTAGAGTTTAGTAAAACAAATAAATATTGAATTTCACATAAAGGTAAGTTATATCTCTCTATCACATCAAAGAATATGTATTTAGTTCCACCTTTATTGAACCAATCCAAAAATCAGTTACATGAAATCATGTATGTTTGATTTCATGAGAGGATTTTAAGGAGACCAAAATAAAATATGTTAAAAAAATTTTTTCTTTCCTCTATGTAAAGCTTTCCAGATAGTTTCTATTTTTCCTTTTAATTTTGTCTGTGAATCAAGGCTTATTTAGGAATACATTTCATGTTTTCAAATAGATAAGACATTTGGATCATTTTATTATTTATTTCCAACTTTATTGGATTATAATCAGCAAATGCATGCGGTGAGATCTTAATTTTTAAAAATTTGTTAAGGTTTTCTTTGTAAACAAAGCAAATTTATTTGTGGGATTTGAGGTTATATATTCATATTTCATATATTATAGATCATTTATTATACACAATTATGGAATATGTATTTGCCATCCCTATATACCCTTGCTTTTTTGTCTGCTGTGTATTGAGATCTCTGACCATAAAGTTACTTTTATCCAGTTCTCTTTGTTTTTCTGGTACTTGTATCTTTATGTAATCTATGTTGTTTGGGACATACATTTTTTGACTACTCTATCTTCTTCATAAATGTTCTCTTATACATCATGTCCTTCTTTATCAAGTTTAACACTTTTAATGTTCAATTCTAATACTTTATTTTTCCTGGCTAATTTTTTTTACCATTCCTTTATTTTTTTTATTTTTCTTTGTCTCTTCTAAGTAGAATGTAGATGAGTACAGTTTTTAAAACATTTTATTTTGAAAAAATATAAATTGGCAGAAAAATTGCAAGATCAGGATAATGAACTTTAGATTCAACAACTGTCAGCATTTTGTCACATTTGTTCTTTCTCTTTCTCTCTCATCCCCCAATGAGAGTGTGTGTGTCTGTGTGTGTGTTTTGGCTTAAGCATTTAAGAATAGACTGCAGATATTTTCACCATTCACCCTCCTAAATACCTCAGGAAAGCTTACACTGATATAAGACTATTATCTCATGAACAGTCCATATTCAAATTTCAGCAATTTTATAATACTCTCCTATCGATAGTAATTTTTCCTAATCCTGGATCATACATTGCATGCAGTTGCCTGAAGTGCCTAGGCTTCTTCAGCCTCTAACAATGGCTCAGTCTTTCTTGTCTTTTCTTTTTAATTTCTTTTTTTTTTAACATCTTTATTGGAGTATAATTGCTTTACAATGGTGTGTTAGTTTCTGCTTGATAACAAAGTGAATCAGCTATACATATACATACATCATATCTCCTCCCTCTTGCGTCTTGTCTTTTATGATACTGATATTTTGACGACTCCAGGCCAGTTGCTTTGTACAATAGACTCCTCATTTTGGATGGTTTCAAACTATGGAATGGCCCCATAGTTTCCTATTACATTCTGGGTATGATACTTTCGGAATACCACACCAGTATACATCACAATAGGAGGTACACACTGTCAGTTTTTCCCATTATTGGTGATATTAACATGGTCAGAGTGGTATCCCCCAGTTTTCTCCATTGAAAAGCTACAATTTCCACTTTGTAAATAGTAAGAAATCTGAAAGGACACTATTTGAAAATGCATATATTATTCATACAGTGGATTTAGCACCCACTGATGATTTTTGTCTGCATCAATTATTATTATATGGTTTTTAATTTCGTTTGTTTTTGACCTTAATCTGGTAATCTCTATATTTGACAGGGTAGTTCACCTTCTCGTATTTAGTATAACAGCCATATACCTGACTATATTCCTTCCATCTTTATGTCTACTCTTTATTCTACATGAGAGTTTATGTCCTTGATCCTTTAGGTTCTGGTTCTACTTTAAAAAATGGCAGGTGGAAGTTTACAGCACCTGTTAGGCCATGTCTGCAGAAAAAGAGCTGTGAAAACTGATTCCCAGGAAAACACGCTCCCTACCACTTCGTGCTGCCTGCTTGGGTCGATGCTCGGGATAAACACAGCCAAAGGAAAGAGGACGTCCGTTAAAAGGAAAATACTGCAGACTTTGCAAAATGACATCAACACATCTCATTCCACCCCAATCCCGCCAAGTGCTTAAATTGTTCATCTTATTACGTGCATATTGAAAAACTGGAGACAACTGCTTCCAAAAGTTGGATGCAGGAGACACCTATCTGAATAACAGCACCAGTGGAGCACTGACTCCTCTTATGCCAGCTGTGTTAATAGTGTTTCACAGAATAATTTTTTTAAAAAATGGCTCCAAAATTCTGGTATGAAATCTGGTATCTTTTTGAGCCCAACACTTCCCACCCAAACCTGCTCTCTAACCACTAAGTATCATTTTCCCTTAAAACTCACAGAGTAACTACTACTGTTTACAAAGCCCTTTGTCAGCAGTTGATTTACCCTGTGAGTTGTTCTATCCCACTTCAAACTGGAAATTAATGATATTAGGGTCTCCCTGCTACCTAAAAATTATGACATCGCTAGGGACCAGCAGATTGACCTACTCAAGAAAAGCCACTATAACTTATTAATAAGACAGCAAGGAAAGTTCCAGAGATGCTCAGCCTAAACATGCAATGGAGGTGGGCTACCCAGAAGGGGGAGACACACATCACGAAGCCTCAGGACTCAGCTACTCTGAACTTGGTCCTGCTCACCCCCCTTTCAGACATGGCTCTGTTAATTCATGGGGTGAGCACTGGAGTTTCTGCATCTTCAGAGGAATAGAAGGCACAAATGGCAAGCACATAAAACCAACAGTCTGTAAATGACTTACGTTCACTTTCGTATATTTACAAACCATTAACAAAAATATGCAACTGTTTAGTTGTTAGCAGTTTCTCACCACTCACTCACTGCCTTGAGTAAAAGGGCAGAGTACTTTGGTGTCTCTGTAGGACACGGAGAGGCAGAACTGGCATGTGGAGAGACGGGAGAGGGGGCTGGCTTGGGAGGGACTAGGCCTGGTCCCGTTCTGCCCCAGGAGGCCAGACTGGTGCGCCCAGCATTAGAGAGACAAATGGGAAATTCTTCCCTTTGTAATCCTCTTGACATAAACTTTGAGGGCAACTCCAGCTTTGTTGAATATATAAAATTTTAGACTGGAAGGAATAGTTGTAGCTTCGACATAAAGATGTTTGTCCTTTTTTTTTTTTCTTTTTTTTCTTTTTGGCCATGCAGTACAGCATGCAGGAATCCTAGTTCCCTGACCAGGGATCAAACCCGTGACCCCTGCAGTGGAAGCACGGAGTCTTAACCAGATGGACCACCAGGGAAGTCCCTAAAGATGTTTGTCTTTAGATTTGTGATATTTGGACATTACACTCCATTACCTACTAACACATTGTAAACAATTCGTTTCCTGGTCTGGAACTACCTTTCCCTCTTCTGCTTCATCCCCGAGGACTTGGCCGTCTTCTCGTGGTCATCCCATGGTTCTTTAGATTCCGTCTCAGAATTAGATTCACTTCCATCCCAGGAAGGCCGTTTTTCCTTTGCTTGCGATACAACTAGAATATAGCTTAGGCCACTTGTCATAAAAGAAACAAAATCTTCAAAGTCAGGCTACAAAATAAAATAAAATAAAATAATATTATTAGGCTCCCAAAATGGATAGAGTACCATGGTGGCCCCTACCCAAGTCAAGGACATCTTCCCCTTCATGATCACTGGGCAAGAGAAAGTTACACACAATCCTCCTGTTAACAAACACATCTGTGAAGGAGAGAAGTTCACAGCTGGCAGGGACTGATCTTAAAGATAGTCTAATAACTACTCTCAAACTGCCGGATGCTTCCAGATCATCTGGAGGGCTTGCTAAAACACAAATTTCTGGTGTCCAGCCCCAGACTCTATGATTCAGTAGGTTTAGGGTGCCCAGGAATTGGATTTTCTCAAAAGTTCCCAGGTGATGCTCATGTAGCTGGTCCAACCCTTTCCCGGGGCCAAGAGAGATTGTCTGAGTGGTGCGGCTAGTTTATAAAGTGCTGTTCGGTAGAACTTTCTGTGACGACCAGCATGTTCTGTGCTCTCCAGCATATGTAACCACAGCTGCTGAGCACTGAAATGTGGCTACCGCCACTGAGACTCCGAATTTTTAACTTTATTTAATTTTAATGAATTTAAGTTCAGATGGCCACATGTATCTAATGGCTACCATGTTGAACAGTGCATTTCTAGAAGCTACGTCTCCTGACGCCCCCAAGCCATTGCACTTTCTAACACAAAGCACTGCCCCCAGGCAAAAGAGAATCTAAAAAATAACTTGACAGAAAGGATGTACCTTTAGGTAGAGAAAGGATTAAAGCTTTCCTGTGAAGTTTACCACAGGCAGCCTTCAACCTGGGATAAGGACCTACAGGAAAGGCCTGGATATTCATTTCCTGAGGGCTGATGCAGGGAGTCTTAGAGGACATAGCATAAAGAGATCTTCGCTCCAACAAAACACAATCAGTGCATCCACTTTTGCCTGGCTGCCTCTATTTCTACTGGAGATTTCTCCATAGTCCCCATCTTTGGATTAACCAGGATATGGACACCAACAGGGACACCTAGAGCTTACTTGGTTGGTCAGACTCATTCGTCTTTCTATAATGAGGATCCTAAACTTATAGGAATCCACTGTATTTGACAACACAATGGCTTTTTTAACTTTCTTACCTGGTCTGCTATTCGGCTGTAGAAGTACCTCACTTGTTCTTCAGTGAGCATTTTCTTATCCTCTGCTTCTATGACAAATTCTGCATCGATAATCTTCAATTAGAGAGCATGGTCAGGTCCACGTGTGTCGTGGGACCACACAGGTAAAACAAGTCAAGGACATTTGTTTCCTAGGCTTAATAAACCCCCCAGATTTGAATGCATTTCATGGTTGTGCCTCAGCACAATCCATGGGACACGAGGTTGGAAGAGGCCCCAAAATAAGTAAACAAAGAAGGTCCTTTTCATGCCCCCTAGTATTTAGGTTTTCACGGCTTGAACCAGAGATTCCACAATATTTCTATTATTTAAGTGAATTGTCTCAAGATGAAAAAAGAAAAAAAAATCTAATTGAATTCCAAGAAAGACATCATAGTTTTCTGAATCATTCAAAAGACAGACATTTACAGGTACTTCTTAACCATCTATTTTCAAAATTGTTTTCAGTTTCTTCTTTTAAGGCTTTCCTTGGTTAAGTCTGTAACTCGTCATCTAGTATATCTTATTCTGATGGCAACAAAAATATCCAAATTACAGGGAAGGATAGAATTTAAGATGCAGCCATGCTTTGTCTTAAAATTTTTAAATTTAATGACAAATTCAGTGTGCATGTCACCCAAGTATAGCAATGTATAAAATGGACCATCTGCTTTATAGTAGTTTAATTGTTGCTGCTTTGGCTGAAGAAAGAATGCATGATGGGAAGTTCATCAAGAGATACCCAGCCCATCCTGACATGGTTCCCCATGGGACCTCCTCTGTAACACATGCAACATTCTTACAAATTTCAATACAATTTTGTTGCTTCAACACAACATCTTTGTTCAGGGGTCAACAAACCACAGCCCACAGTCAAAACCTGGCCTGCCACCGTTTTTGGAAACAAAGTTTACTGGAACACAGCCATGCCCATTTGTTTATCTACTGTCTAATGCTGCTCTCTCGATATGATGGCAGAGTTAAGCTGCTGTGACAGAGATCACATGACCCACAAACCTGAAAATAGTTACTATCTGGCTCTTTATAGGAAAAGTCTGCTGACCTTTGGTTTAGAATGCAATTTTGCTCTAAAAATTTTTTATTTGGGCTCTAAAAGCAAAACCTTAAATGCTTCCTCATGTTATCATGTATCTAAAAAGGACCATATGTTTGTGACAACACACAGGGAATAAAGCAAGCTGATGTGAGCTTATACAAGTCTGCACTGCTAACAACTAAACACAAAGAAATCTGTTACAATCCAATGCAAGAACTGTAATTTTTATCATTTATATTGGATGCTGGTAGAGCAGAGTTATTTAAATAAGGATGTTGAATAGGTCTAGCCTTTGTAAGACAAGATATTCAAAGAAGACAAAACATTCATTCAAATGAACCAGAAGTTCATTATATTCTGTTTTTCTCTAAATAACAAGCTTGTCTCCAAATTGAAAATTAAGGGATTGTTTTTTTACAGTTAATTTAAAAATTAATTTTACAATTAATTTAAACTATTCTTGGGAAATATCACTTACTTTTTCTTTAATTTCTTTAACTTTTCTAGCAGTCACAGCATTGGGTTTGATAATGGCAATGCTGTATAGTTGGTCTAGGAAAAAAAATAGAAGAATTTCATTTTCTTGGCACAGACTCTAGAGAATGAAGGATTTGGCAATTAGAAATGTAAACTACTAATGTCCAGTGAATTTTTGTCCATCAACAGCTTTGTTATTATGGCATTGCAACTACCAAAGAGTTTCTACTTAGAATCAAAGTACAGTTCCTATATTTGCATGCAGGAGAAACATTCACAAGAGTTTGTAGTCAGTAGGCCGGAAAAGAAAGAGTAGGTGGGCACTATTTTATTTTATTTTATTTTATTTTATTTTATTTTATTTTATTTTA